GGGGGAGGGAGGGGAAGGTAGGGGGAAGGGAGGGGAAGGTAGGGGGGAGGGGGTTCGTTCGTCAGGCCGCGGTCACTCCCAGCGAGTAACGTGAGAGTTTACGAGCCGCTGCACACTCCCTCCTCAACGTTCACCTCCTCCGCCCCCATGATTTTAAAAGCCTTTGAGTCGAAGCTTTACGAGCGCTTGAGCACCGGGCTTTTATTTCCCTACATAATGTGTTTGATTTCGGGCTTCCCCCCTCCTCCTCCCCCTTCCTGGTGGCTTAGGCTTCAATTTCACGAATATTTTAAGCTCATGTCCTGGTCCTTGGAAGGCTCGGGACCAGATTCACGAAGCACTTACGCAAATACTTACGAACCTGTCCATCTTTTCTCAATCTTTGGCGGCTTGGTTTACAATTATTAAACATTTAACGAGTTCCCAAGCACCAGGAGGCTGTTTATAACAATAACAACAGTTGATTGGAAAGTTTTCATGCTTGTAAACTGTTTAATAAATGTAACCAAAGCCGTCAAAGATTGAGGAAAGATGTACATGTTCGTAAGTATTTGCAGAACTGTTTCGTGAATCTGGCCCTTGGTCTGGACATTGCTAAGGACTATACAGCCCAGTCGGGCATTCGGATCTGATTTACGTGACACGAACCTCACACGAATGACAGGCGTGTATGACAATAGGGTTTTCCTCGATGTCTGATATCCCAGGCTTCAAGAATGCCACCTGTGGTGAACTATGGATGGCATAGATATCATACCTTGCTGATATCTTGCGATAATTTGGGGGCTAAGCGTCCCCGCGGTCCGGTCATCGACCAGGTCTCCTGGTTGCTGGACTGGTCAACTAGGTGATTAGTTGCATGATTGGTTCACCATGATTGTATGGTGATTAGTTCACAATAGATGCAACGTTACATCCTGTACATTATGCTGAGAGCAAGTATGTTCACTCACAGGAGTGACTGAACACTCCTGTGTTCAATGGCGCTGCCCAATCAACTCGCCCCTCAGGGCAAAATTATATAAACAAATAGAAGAGATTTTCTCGTATAGGATAGTATTGTGCCTCGTAGTGCCACGTGTGTACAAGCCCACTGTTTGTGCGTCACCTGGCACTGGGTATCATCACATGTGGAGGTGTGAGGAGGCACTGAGTGCCATCACAAAGTGAAGGGGGGGAGGGGGGGAGGAAGTTCAATAATGGTGGAATTAGAGAGACGCCAAGTTCCGTTTAGTTGGCACAGCTTGAAGGGATTCACTCAAAGGAGAACAGGAGGAGAACAGTAAGTTCTATGGCAAGTTCTTGTTGATCAGAGGATCGCAGAACTCTATGTCAAAAGTCACATCACCAAGTTCCATCACAGGTCATGTCATCTGTCACGGGCCAAACAAAACAGTAAGTTTCAACACAAGCTAAAAGTTCATCACATGTCAAGTTTTAGGGAGAGCAAGTTCCATTACGAGTCAGGGGGGAACATGAAGTTCCATGTGAGCACTTCCAAGTGTGAGATAAGTGAGTACTTCCAAGTGTGAGATAAGTGGGTACTTCCAAGTTGCAATAGGCGTTCCCTTTTGGGTTGCCACCTGGAGAAAGGGGGGTTGGTGGTTAGGGGGTTGGTGGTTAGGGGGTTGGTGGTTAGGGGGTTGGTGGTTAGGGAGTTGGTGGTTAGGGGGTTGGGAGGGGGGTTAAGGCAGCTGGTCACCTGTAGCGTCTTTACTGCCAATCACCGTCCACAACCTTAATGTATACACAGGTGAGAGATAACACCTCCTACCTTTGTCAGGAAGACTTTCTGTCTACCCAGACCATCACTGAATGTTTCAACGAGTGTGGTGACGCCACGCAATCACCCCCCCCCCTTCCAATCACCCCCCACCCTTCCAATCACCCCCCACCCACCCAATCACCCCCGCCAAGCCCACACCACCCACCAACGTCCCCATCATTTACCGGAACAACGAAAACTAACACGTTTAAGAGTAATAAAACTCAACATTTATTCCAAGGAAGAAGTGGAAAAAAAACATTATGTGATTAAATGAACAAATCCACAAGGGCCGTGATGAGGATTCGCAGATTCGATTCCCTTGTGGATTTGTTCATTTGAAGCATCACGTTAGTGTGATCTGTGTGTAATTATGTGATTAATAAAATGTCACCACAGGATGTAACACAGAATAAGATTAACTAGTCGTTAAGACAATACTTTCAGAGAACACAAGACAAACTTCAGTCTAACACTACGAGACATGAACAGACTTTTCTTAACTACCAACCAGGCAATTCTCAATCACTAACGGTCTATCAAGCCCGATGTTGCTGTTCTTAAAAGATAAAGTTTACGAACTAGAAATATGCGAAGCTCTCTTACGGGTTCGCACCAATATCTTAGCTATTAAGAACTAGTAGACGAGGTCTGAATCTTTTAATTAACACAGAATACTACTGGCTGGTTCGGTCGTTACTCTCGAACAAGCATTTTCCCCAAACAACGGGACTCTTCACAGACGATACTAACGTAACTTAGTGTGATTAACACATCAAGCAACGAGGAGGGCTGGTCGAGGACCGGGGCGCGGGGACGCTAAGCCCCGAAATCATCTCAAGGTAATCTCAAGATAACACCGAGAAAATTGGGTTTGCTTCCAAACTCTGACATTTATCGACTAATTAACAGTGATTATTATGGCTTATTTTGCTGTTAATGTAATTGGTGCTGAATGGTAGAGTGACGGTCTCGCTTCATGCAGGTCGGCGTTCAATCCCCGACCGTCCACAAGTGGTTGGGCATCATTCCTTTCCCCCCGTCGCATCCCAAATCCTTATCCTGACCATTTCCCAGTGTTATATAGCTATATGTTCTGCTCTATGTCTATACTGACATTTGTTATATATTCCTTTTATATGTATTTATATTGTGTTTATTTTAAATCAATAAAAACCAAGATTATCAGTAACTACAGGAATTAAGTTCACTAACTTCACACACAACTTGCTAAAGTTCTCTGAAATATCCAAGATCAATAAGGTTGTGATGGTTGTACTGTTCCCATCAGCAAACAACAGTCTCACTGATCAGATAGCTTCTAAGGAAGCTTGGCCTTCAGCCAAGCTGAGAGAACAGAACTCCGCCAATCGTTTACAGGTAATCTGCAGCTGTCGACTATTATCTGATTACAGGTAAACACGCAAGACAGTGAGCACGGCGGAGAGATCCTAGCAAGGATACACACACACACTAGTCGCTTCTCAACAGGGACAACGGGTCAACAAGCTCGCTGGAACATCAACAGTATAAACAGAGGATTCCTGTTAACGGTGTTGACTGGTCGACGGGTGGTAAGGGGTTACCCGCTGGAAGAAACGCGCCGTTCACTGGTCGATGGTTGGTAGGACTGGTCTACTGGTCGACAGGTGGCAGGGCTGGTCGACGGTTGGCAGGGCTGATCGACGGGTGGCAGGGCTGGTCGACTGACAGAAACACATCCCACCCATGAATAACTACACAAGCGGAACGCCGCCTGGCCCAGTGTCTCCCCCAGACGACAATGGCGACCTGCAGTGTTGTGGTGGCGGAGACGTCTGGCCGTCCACCAGGGCCGCCCTCTCGCCCTTCCAGGGCCGCCCTCTCCCACTTCCAGGGCCGCCCTCTCCCACTTCCAGGGCCGCCCTCTCCCACTTCCAGGGCCGCCCTCTCCCACTTCCAGGGCCGCCCTCTCGCACTTCCAGGGCCGCCCTCTCCCGCACTTCCAGGGCCGCCCTCTCGCACTTCCAGGGCCGCCCTCTCGCACTTCCAGGGCCGCCCTCTCGCACTTCCAGGGCCGCCCTCTCGCACTTCCAGGGCCGCCCTCTCCCACTTCCAGGGCCGCCCTCTCTCGCACTTCCAGGGCCGCCCTCTCGCACTTCCAGGAATATTTATTGTCCAACTTAACTTTCACTTCGATTCACACACCGCAAACTTTTGCTGATCAACTTTTGTGTTGAAATCTTCGCGCTCCGTTGAATCGCGACTCTATGCGACCTCTATCTTGAGGTGATTCGGGGCTTAGCGTCCCCGCGGCCCGGTCCTCGACTAGGCCTCTTTGTTGTTACACCCCCCCCCCCAGGAAGCAGCCCGTGGCAGCTGTCTAACTCCCAGGTAACTATTTACTGCTAGGTCACGGGGGCATCAGAGTGAAAAAAACTTTTTGCGCATTTGTCACCGCCTCCACCGGGGATCGAACCCGGAACCTCAGGACTACGAATCCGAAGCGCTGTTCACTCAGCTGTCAGGCTGAAGTGGAGTTCTCTACCCTGGAAAAAAGAGCCCGATTGAAAAGTAGGTGCTCAAAGAGTCAACAGCAAATTGATAAAAGAGCTCCAATGGGTACCTGATCAAGAGTGCAGTTATACCGACGTCAGAATGCGTGCAGCGACATCCAACAGTCTGGTCGACCAGATCGCCGACCAGGAGGCCTGGTCAGAGACCGGGCCGTAGGGACAAAAGAGCCGAACACAGAACTGACAGGAAACATCGTCATAGAGGCAACAAATGGACACACTGCGGATCAGCTGTATATACAAACATTAAACAATGAACTGGAACGAGAGAATTACCCACTTCAGACGCCAGTGACCCGAGGGTAGATGATGACGATGCCAACCTTGAGGTTACCTTGAGGTTACCTTGAGGTGCTTCCGGGGCTTAGTGTCCCCGCGGTCCGGTAGTCGACCAGGCCTCCTGGTTGCTGGACTGCTCAACCAGGCTGTTAGACGCGGCTGCTCGTAAGTCCAAAGACTTACTATCCTATCAGTCCACTCACCTGGGCTGTAGGAGAATCGAACGGTGGACCCCTTACGTCTGAGGTCGAAGTTCTATCAATAGGCTTTGATATACACTCGATATAAAGCTTTATTTCTA